ATATTCTCTAAATCGTTCCTTCAACATGGTAAGTTTTTACACAGAAAAACATCTCGGTTTACAGTCTCTCTCGAGCATTTCTTCCTATCTTTTTCTCTCTCTTCTCCAAGTTCTTCTCCTTTCTCTAATTGAATCTTTCCCTATTTTTCTTACACTATAATCAGCCATCGGGTACATGTCAAAGGTCCCTGACAGCAGCTTGGAAAAGAAAAAAAACAAGAGAAACATGAGACTAAGACTTACCTGTTCAGTAAGAATTCTCGAGAGAATATCCTGCCGGTAAGCATAGATAGGGAGGCCATCCTCCAGCCTCCGGCACTCCCGCAAAATCATGTGGTGAATCTGCTCCCAATTGTAGTCCCCCTTGAACTTAAACACCTCCACAAGCTGTTCGCCACCATCCCAATCCTCCTTCTCTGCAACACAACCTTCAAGATACTTCAAAAAGCACCGTATGGCACTCTCGAACTCCTTAACCCTTTTTGAAACCAAGTCCCTCTCCGCCATTAAACTTTCCTTCTCATCAACCAGCTTGTGGAACATCATCTGGCGAACACCACCTTTCCTCCTCAACTTAGCCGACACTGCAGCGATCTCAGAGGACTTCTCCTCAACCTTCTTCCTCCACTTCTTCAGGGCCTCCCCGTCAAGCAGTGACCTCACGTGGGCAGAGAAAAGGGCTCGGAGCTTCTCCCTGAGCTCCAGAGTGTCTGACGGGACCGGCACGTTGGAGACAACCTTCACGGAAAATTCGTGGCTCCCGCGAAGCCGGGACTCCCAGAGCGAAATAGTCGCGGTGAGCGTGTCGACCCATTGCCGGAAAGAGATAGACGCGGCAACAGGGCCGGAGTCGAATACGGCTAGGTTTTCTGCAGCGATGTTGCATTGGGAAATCAAGGCTTCAATTTCGGGTTTCTTGAGGACCCTGGCGCACTGGCGACCGGTCGGGCGCAGGAGTTCGACGATGAAATTGGGTTTGATCGGGTCGGGTCCGGGAGGCCGATCCAACGTGTGATTCATGGGGAAATTTGGTTTTGGCTGGCGTCCATATTGACCATCGGGGTATCGCGGTCGGCGTTGTACAAAACCGGGGTAGTGATTGTGATTGTAGAAAGAGGTATAAGGAGGTCTGCCGGCATTCCCCTGTTCCCGGTCGGTGGCAGGAAATGAATAGTTCCTCATGAGCCCTCAGAGAAGACAAACGGAGAAAAGAAAAATGTTGTCAAGAAACAGTGAAGAAGAAGAAGAAGAAGAAGAAGAGGAAGAAGAAGAAGTTGGACGCTGACAAATAAGGCAGAAAAGAAAGTTGGTAACGAAAGAATCGCGTCTCTCTTTTTTTTTTTCTTTTAACCTTTTTAATTTCCTTGCGTTAATCGAATCTAATATGGAGATTAGGGAGTTTTTAACCTAATTTAATTATTACAATTTTGTAATTTTTTTATCTTTTTAATATTTAAATATTCAATTTATATATGTCTAATTATTGTGGGTGCATTAATGATATTTACGTGTCTTCTTCGGCACACTAAAAATTCAAAAAAAAATAAATAAAAAAGAAAAATAAATTACTTGCTTTACAAGAAATAAAAATATTTAAAATACGCAGAAATTATTAAAAATATATTCTAATATATGAAATTAAAAATACTATATTTTACACATCTTTTTATCATAAGTTTATTTATTTTTACTTATTTTAACTATATTTAATTTACATCTATTAAAAATATTATAATAAAAATATTTGTTAATATATTAACTAACACATCAATTAATATATATTTTATAAAATAAAAATTATGTAGATAAATAATAATACAAATACATCTAATTAACCTTTTTTACTTTTACTACACTGTTAATAATATTTTACTTAAAAAGTAGAAAATTCTCAAATTCAATGAAGCTTTTTATTAATTTTATACTTGACTTGCAAGTTTGTAACTTTAATACTTTTACTTTTATTAGGTGGAAAAAAATAATAAAATCAACCAAATAATTATTTTATTTAGTAAGATTAAATATTTAATTAATTATAAGTATATTATTATACTGTGATTAATTAAATTTTAATAAATTTATTATATTATTATTAGACAAAAAAAATTCTTAATGACTAAATTTTTTATTTTAAATTTAACTACTGACTTTTTAATTTTTTTTTTCTTTTAAAAAAACCCACCATGTTAAATTTTTGGCACCACGAGAATAATGATCTTCTCATAAAATAAAATACTAATTATTTAAAAATAATATTTTTTTTTCAAAAAATAATTATGAGGTGTCTCACCATAAATGAGACCTTATGTCTACTATTTTTCTAACATGTAAAAATTACTACTAAATAGTTAAAACTACAGAATTAGATAATTTATAAATTTATTATATGTAAAAGCTCAAAATCTTGAGTAAAAGAATATATATTATAATGACAAAAGTAAATAATAATTTAGAGTTTACATTTCTTATACAGTAGATCACGATATTCAATAGAGTTATGAGAATTTCTCTTTCAAAAAAATTAAAATAACAAAAATATAAGTAAAACTAAAATTTTATGGAGTTAACTTCCACTAGCATTTTTGATGGGGTCCGAAAGATAATATTTACTCACAACCCTCCTGCAGTTCAGAATCTGAATCTTGGTTTTCTTCATCTGAAATTGTTAAATAGGAGGATGAACTATATTAAACTAATAAAAATATCACATTAATCACTTATACGAAAAATAAAAAATTAGTAAAAATTATAAAACAACTAATAGAATCATTAATTTAGGTAAATTCATTTAACATAAAACTATTTATTCCATACTTACCATTATGAGTTCTCAAAATCGACCTATAAAGATAATAACTTAAATAACATTGTGATTTCATATTTAAGTGAGAACAAATAGTAACTTATATTTTTTTACCTATTTACCAGTATCTCTTGGGGTTCATAAGGATGTCCCTTTATACATGAACTCAATATCTAAATTTGTCAATTAACCAGTCGTCCCCATATCCCGTCTGCTAGTGAACGCCAAATACATCATCACCTCAATATCTCGTCCGGTATGAGGGTGAATCATATCTCTCAAACTCCTCCGGTATAGAACTTCTCAACCCCGTTTGACTGAGATGATGTCTACAGTAGGATTTCTCCCTATGTACCGGGTCCGTCCATCATTTCCCAAGGTACCCAATAAATTTTTCATACATACATTCACATCATTAACTAATTACTAATTGTATATCGATATCTCATATTTACCAATCAACAATCAGTCATGCAAATAGACGATACGTAAATTAAGAAAACATGATTGAGACATTTATTACAAAACGAACCAATAGATGAGGATTATGCAGTTAGGTAACTAAATAATCAAGAAGAAAAGTAAAACTAGTGATTTAAAATAAACAATATAACAGTAAACATTTTAGGTAGTATATGATAAAATAAATAGTGAGTTAGAGCAAATATATACTGACTAGTTCCGATTCTAGTAGTAACTTATAATTAATTTCAAGTTTTTCTAATTTTCACAAAATACAGTGTTATTGATTATTAAGTTTCAATTTCCTGTAATAGGAAAAATAGTGAAGAATTCTTATCCCGGATCGGTATTTGAAACACTGTACTTTTTACTGTGCTTCCTAACCGTCTCCAAGTTTTCTGGATTTTTCTTATAGAAATTAAAATACACATCACATATCCAAAAATAACCCAAAATGACAAAATAGGCGTTTTAAAATTTTTACGACAAATTTTAGGATTCTGGAAAGGTGGTGCCAGCTCCGGCATCCACAACAGCAGTTCGTCTCGATTTAGCCACTTTTGACCGATTTAGACCGATTTTGACCAGTTTTACACGTAAACCTACGAAAAACTAAGTTAGAAGGCATCGATTAACCCAAAAAAAATAAAAAATTGAAACCCTACTGACGGAAGGTCTCTGGGTACCACGGCTCCGACGTTCCTCCTTCGCGGTCGAGGTTCCCCTTCAGCTAACCTGCATCAAAAAAGGACGGAGAACACAATGGTCAAAAAGTCACGTAAAACAGAAAATGGAAAGACAGTCATTAGAGAGGATTTTGGGTTTTTGCAACGGTGGCTCGGCCGAGCTTCGCCTGTGGCTTCCGGCTCACCCGTCGGCCCTTTAGCTCTGATATGAAAATAAAGAGATTTGGGATTGAATTCCAAACGATAAGGGAAAAAAATATTTGTTTTGACGTCGGCAGTAGCTCCGATGCGGTGGTGACAGTGGCTGGCCTCCTTTTCCGACATCTGGTTCTTTCCATGACCGTCATTCTTCTTCTTCTCCAGTCACTCCTCTATCGGCTAGAGTTTTGGTTCCCTGTTAAGAGGAGTTTAAATACCTCTCTCCATCCGATCCAGCTCGCCCGTTCGAGTCAACATGGAGCAAGGAGAATCATCTGATGATTTCATGTTTAGGTCGATCGCATGTGCGAACTATGGTCATCCATCACCATCAATTTCATTCGTCCGATCGCGTTTAATGAAAAAATAGATTGTTCATGTGCGCGAGATGCGATATGGATCGTCGAATCACTCAGGCACGTGGATCGCCCGCGTGGTACCGATGTCAGTGTGTCCGCCACGTGGCATGTTCTGACTCGTCGTTGCTACTAACAAGATCGTCCCACGTGACCATACCTTCCCTTTTTGCGATTTCACTATTTATTTTTTAATTTTCTTTTAAAAATACTCTATTATTCACAATTTCACATTTTTTTTTCAAAATTATTTTTAATTTCGCTCATAATTCTATTTATTTAATTCTATAAAATGATATTAAAGATTTAATTATTTATATATATAGATATTTTTATTGATTAAAAAATTATAATTTCATAACACTAATAATTATAATATATATTTATGAGTAATTAAACAATTTCTTCTTTTCGGATACCAGAGTCAAGTTCATGAACATGAAAAATATCAGGTACATAATCATCAGTTTGAATTGATAATGAGATAGGGAATGAAACAAGAGGACTTATGATATCTCTGGAATACAAGCTTTTACGATAATTTTTGACATTTTGTAATATAGCAAATTAGTAGTTTAATTATAATAACAAGTTTGTAGAACTGCTAAAAGCTGGACTGTAAAAATGCTCATACATTCAACAGCTAGTTTCAAATATATCATATATCTACTTGTCAATTTTGTGCTACTCAAATTACCTGAATTTCCTTATGCCTCGGATACATCACCGGGTTTGCTGTCTGTGATCAGATTGTCATTTCCACCGGAAGCATCACTCATAATACCATTGAAATCTACACTGTATACGTGCCCCATTTTTGTACGTTTTGTCTCTAAGTATCTTTTGTTCTCTCGAGTTATAGGTGTTAACAGAGGAACCCTGCCAGCAATTGACAGGCCATATCCTTTGAGTCCAACATACTTAGCAGGATTGTTAGTCATCAGTCTCATTGTTCGGACACCCAAATCTCGCAGTATCTGCAATGGATTTAATCATAGAATCAGCTGTATAAACGATAATCCAGTCATAAGAAGACAGTGTAAAGGAAAGAGATGTTTCTAATTGCTCTGTAACTAGAGAAGAAAGCACCAAAAGATACTTACAAGTCAAGTAACCTTAAAACTTTTCAGATTTATGAAGTAAAGAAACTTTAATGCAATATTTAAAAGTGGTATATGTGCTTGTTTCACAGTCCTTCAAATCAGCAATTGCTACTGAGGGACTAGTCTGGGAGCCATTTACTACTTTTACTTTGCAAATTACCGGAAAAAAAAAGAATTAAAACTAATAGTCCTTTGAAATAGGCGCTGATTCTTCTTTACTACAATAAGATTGTAGTGGTGGGCACCCAAGAAACAGACAGAAGCTCCTACAAACAGTCAAGAAAATCTTAATTTCTCAATAATTTCTATTTCTTTTATGTTCCTAAATCTTAAATTATTAGATTTATAGAATCTGATCATAATTTTCATGCATAATTAAACCAATTGCACTAATACATCTTGTTATATAATAATAGATATGTATTTTCACTTTTCAAGAAAAAAAATGAAAAATTTATATAACTTAAATGTAAGATAAAATTGACTTGTTTTCTTCTTATAAATCTTTGTCACTTATATTGTATTCTCGTTCACATTCCATAAAATTAAACTTTAAGCCAAGCTCAAGCATATCATCCAATTAACATTACCAAGGCTAGAACAAGATTCCTAAAGTGCAACGGAAGTGAACGTAAATAGTATTTTGAAAGGAGAATAGTACCTGTGCACCAAGGCCATACTCCCGAGAATCAACTGGTAATCCTAACTCTTCATTGGCTTCAACTGTGTCACGCCCATCATCCTGTAGGTTATATGCACGAAGCTTGTGGCCCAAACCAATGCCTCTACCTTCATGGCCACGAAGATAAACCAAAACACCTTGACCAGCTGCTTCAATTTGCTTCATGGCAAGAGCCAACTGGTTACCACAATCACATCTAGCAGACCCAAATATGTCACCTGTGAGGCACTCAGAATGTACCCTCACAAGAATATCCCGCCCATCTCCAATGTCGCCCTGCATGAATTTCAAACAGTTCAATATTTCTCAGAGCATTCCTCCTCCCAACTCACATGCTAGATTGTAAAGAGGATAACAATCAGAAAAACATGAAGAATGCCTAGGGTTACAGTTATCAGTTGAAACACTGAATTGTTCAAAAATTTCTAATTATGTGTCAACGCCTCATGGTATAGATGATGCAAAAATATAATGCAAATATCCCTAGAACCGTCAAAATGCAATTCAATCTCCAGTAGTCATACAGTCTTCCTATCAGCAGTAGGTTAGAGCAATATAAATTTGAGAAAAACATTTACCAGAAGTTATTTTCCAGTATTCCTGATGTGTGGCCATATAATGAATGTAGAAAATCCATACCACCCAATCCGAAAATGACTCTCGAAAATAAAGTCATAGTATTCTCTACCTGATCAAATGAACTAACTTGCAACTTTGCAAAATCCTGACCCCATCAAAGGTTGATTTCATCATGACATGAATTTGTTCTTTTCTTTTGGGATAAACTCATTCCATGAATTTGTTTATCCATATCATCCAATTGAAAAATGACTAATAAAGAAACAAAGTATTTATTATCATCTACCTGATCAAGTGGACTAACATGCAACTCGAGAGACTCCTTACCCTATCAAGCTCATTTCATCATCCCATGAACTTGTTATTTTCTTTTTGGATAAACCCATCCCATGAATTTGCTACTTAGTTTTTTGTTGCAGAAAAACACTTTAAAGCAACCTCACATCTCATTCATATATCTTTGTATTGATTATGGACTATGAATGGGACTTTAAGAATATAACATAAATGTAGCGGAAGATGGTATGCTTTTGCATTTACCTTGGAGCACAGTGCTGGGGTTGAAAAGAGACTAAATTATGGGCATGTAAAGTTAAGATGTTCTCTGGTACATAGCAAGATATATCGCTGATATGTCGTGTATGGCATTAATTAATATTGCTAATATTAAATATGAAGATGAATTATTTACCAAAAGAAAAAGAACAAACTTGAATTGTGGAAATTCAGATATCAAGATATGGATGGTAAGCATGGTAATTGAACAAGCCACTTACTTTAACCATGGCTATATGCTCAATCCCATCAAGCATTGACCTATAACAGTAAGCTTTGAATGGTCCCCACATAGTAGGTATTGGTGCAGCCGCAGCCAACTCCACCAATCTATCTCTTTTCCTCCTATATCTGCAACATTGCAATGCTAATCAGAACTTCAACAACTCAGCAGCATGGTATGAAGGCCAGAATAGTTTGAATACCACCTTCCAGTGTAAGATATGCCCATGTTTTGTTCCCAATATAGCATTTTCACATATATATAAAGCATCTTCAGTGCAATTTAATCACATTATAGAAGTTATAACTATCATAAAACAATTTTGAACTAGTCCTCAAAAAAAGGTGTCCTTTTTCTTTTCTTTTTTTTCCCCCTTAGCAAGCAACTAAGGAGCAATAACCTTCCACATTTCCATCTACTTTTGTGGAAGTAGCAGGAAGAATGCACTCGGTTTCTGATGAACAGGATATTTATAAGTGTTAACAACAAATGACACTAGTTTACATATCATCTTTTTAACACAAGGTGATCTAAAATCTTACCAGAAATTAGTAGCTGTGTAGAAATCAAAGGTGTGCTGATATACCTTATTAAATCAGCAATTGAAATGATCTTCAAGTTGTTTTCTTTTGCAAATTGCTGGAGCTTTGGCAATCTAGCCATGGAACCGTCATCATCAACAATCTCACACAAAACTGCAGCAGGTTCTAAACCAGCCAAGACAGCAAGATCTACAGACGCCTCAGTATGTCCAGCTCTTTTCAGAACACCTCCCTCCCTGTATTTCAAGGGAAAGATATGACCAGGGCGATTGAAATCTTGAGGCTTTGAATCTCTAGATGCAAGGGCTAACACTGTTGCAGCCCTATCACGAGCTGAGACACCCGTTGTTGTCCCATATTTTGCATCCTAAGCAAAATAGACACAACAGACATCTTAACCTTAAATCTATAACCATGATAGATGATTCTAAATCTATAAACCCAATGAGTTAAATGATATGCTTGGAAGCCTATTGTAGAGGGAATTTTTTTTCATTCATACATTAATCATCACTGTCAATGTATTCTCCCTCTCTCCCTTTCAAGTTCATCAACATTTAGAGGCAATCAACATACTACTGTTTAAGATAGCCATGCCTGGCACTATATTCACAGGACAAGCCTGGGATCAAAAACAGTAGGTGTAATATGTACCACCTAAATCAACATCAAAATGTAATGTTAAACTTATTCACATAACAAAATAATGCCAAAATCTCCTCCCGAAATCAAAAGGAAACGATCAGATAGGGACTATATAGCAGCATAAATTTTCATGACTTCAATTTAATAAACAATCTAGAATCTACAGTTGATGGTGGAAGAAAGAATTATGGAAATAACATGCACAAGAAATAAATCTTCAAAAATTTGCTAGCACGTGGACCCTACAGAGCATATGTTATTCCACAGATTATATCTTCTGGAAAGATCAACAAGTTTCTACAATGATGAAAAATAGGAGAGAAAAATTTAAAACTCCTTACCACCTTTCTACCCTCCAGGCTTTAGACAAATTCAAAACAATCTACATACCACTGAGACAGTGAATGCTGTACAAAGTTTTTCCTCATTCTCTTTCTGCGTCACCATCAATGGGAGTTCCAGCCTCTCTAGATCTTCACCTTTCATACTCACACACACTATTCCAGTTCCATGCTTGACAACGAAGGCCATAGCTTCAGGTGTTACCAACGAAGCTGCCATTATTAGGTCACCTTCGTTTTCCCTGTCTTCATCATCTACAACAATTACTAACTGCAAAATATACCAAGTTGGTGTCAGGCTTTACTCCTAATTGATAAAAAAGAAATTATTTAACCAGGAATTGGATCTTTAGAACTTCGTGACATAAGACTAACCTTGCCTTGATGAATATCCTCAATGGCCTCCATGATGGAAGCAAAACCTTCTGTAGGACGGTCCAGGTCATATTCATCATTGTCCACAAAGAAACTACTAGTTGTTGGAGTTATTTCAGCTGCAAGTGTTCCAAATGACGCGGCATCTGGTTGTATCTCAATTCCAGTTGACTGGTTCACTTGTTTGCTAAAAAGGGTATCCTGTCCCACAACTCCATTGCCGTTAGGATAAGATAGGAGATCACCTTCTCCAGATGTCAAAGCAGCTCTAACTCTACCTAAGCCCTTGAAACTCAAGCACAACTTTCTATTCAGACTACTTGATGCAAAATCTGGTGTGCCTCCACTTGCCATAGGACTCAAACAGTGCAAACCACTGTACTCTCTGAAGAGACAAAATTAGCCACATTTCATACAACCAATAGATTGAGAAAGCACTGAATAAGAAGGTGCAAGTAGCTTATTAGTCTTTATGCAGTTTTATGCAGTATACAATTCCATGTCCTATTCACGATACAATACAGAACAACAACTATCCTTCCATTGATTGAAATGGTTGATACTAATCATGAACCATATATCCGAATATTAAAATTGAAATAATAAAGATGAATGAAGATTACTTAAAACTGGTAAGAGAAGGCCAAATTTTAAGACCCCTCCACGTGTAAAACCAGGTTTCCCCATGGATTTGTAAATACAGAAACACAAACTCACCTGTAATCTGGGGGACACAGATGAGCCAATGAACAACAAAGCAGAAAAAGCAAGGCTCCTAAGATTTAAACCTAAGAACTCAAGCTTTGGTGGCACATGAAAGCATAAACTTGGCGAACCAATCACTCTAGGTTCTCTAACAGCTAGCTTTCCAGCTTCCTCCAGTAAATACACT